ATTCATCAAGAAAATTATATATATATATATATATATATATATATATATATATATATATATATATATATATATATATATATATATATATATATATATATATATATATATATATATATATAACCAAAAAAAATAAAAAATAAAAGCCAGACTTTTACAAGCAGTACATAACATTCTTCTTTGCTTGCGTTAGAAGTTTATGATTTACTAGATAATAATGAAGCTGTACAAAAGCTTTATGCATGACTATGGTGCTGTTCGAAATCCAATAGGTTACTCACAAAAGATTAGTTTTCCCCCATTGTGATGCTTTAGGACGAGTTATATGTTACATATCGCCTTAATTGGTGCCCTGAGTTGATTTTTGTTTCAGCTTGGTCGGTTACTATCCTCTATAAAGTAGACATTTTCTGCCAATTTTTTGGCTCAGTCAGTTTGCTTTTGATGAGAAACCATCAAAATCATGCAACTTCAATCCATGTTCAGACTTTTTGCTATTTATCAAAGGAAGGTGCATTCCATCTTGTTTATTCTTTTTAATCCACTATCTGAAGTTCTCATAACTATGAAAGAGCCCATGGAGAAAATAGTAGGTTGTATATAGAGAACTCTGTTCAAGTCTAAGCTTCTATAATAGTAAGGAAACAAAGAGAATACATCTGCATGCATACATAATGACGAACTATCCAGTTCACCTGTTATGGTTATTTCTGTGTCTTCTAAAAATGGAATCATTTACTTGTTCAGTACTGATGGGCGTGCAGTGCACTTCCATGGGCATAATTCTTACAACACCTAGCTAGTCTGTGAAAGAAGTTGTGGAGACTGAATAGAAGGCCACACTTAACAGTGTTGGTGTTAATGTATGCTTTAAAAAGAAAGTAGTTGGTCTAGACAGGTCATAAATGGCAACAAGATTTGCAAGTACATGATGTCTCAATATCATTTCTCGTGACTGTTTCCTGTTATTATGCGGGTACTCTTCTTAGCCAACTGATTGACATTAGGCTGAAGTAAACATAAGATTGATATGAATTGTCAAACAGAATATCCTTTCACATTAGGGTACTAATCCACTTTGCAGACAACAAAGTGCTGATGTGTAGTGTCGTTATCTAAAATTTAATCTATTGCGAGAATCCCCTGTTTGGCCTTCCTTGTGCAATGATTTCCTCTAGTTTTTAGCTGGGGTGAAACTCCAAGCTAACCATTCAATAAAATGATTATCTAATCTTTTTGATTCAAGCAATCCTTGAAGTCTTGGCTCAGAATATGTAAGTTGACTGCCAAACATTATATTCTTTATGAGCCGTATCTTCGTTCAAACAGTATAATAACCATGTAGTATCACTGCATTACTGCATTGGTTGTATGTTTTAATGTCTGATATAGATGATGTATATTTTCTATGATATTGATTTCTTGTTAGAGACCCCACATATTTGTCTATCATCTATTTATTATTTCTTCCTCTTAATTTTGTCAATCTTAAATAGGTATGATTTTATGTTTGCACTGTACACCCGGAATTTTCATCTGAATAGAATACTAACTGAGTTAAATATTTAACATTTCCTGTAGGCACCTGGAAAGAATGAGAAGGATGGGCCTCCAGAGAGCATGGTTGGTGACTTTTATAATTTTTTTTCCCTTTTTGGTGGACTTGTCTATTAATCATTTATGAAATTTGACAGATTTGTTTTCCCTTATTTATCTTTGTGAAATATTAGTCATGCATGGTATGCCTTTGTGTTTGCAATTTTATGTTTTGTGCCATGCTCAAACACATGTTCATTTCTTCTAGCAAAATTATTGTCACTCTTGCAGTCTTGCTTGAAGTCTTTATGTAAGCCAAGGTGCATTTGTGCTTTTTCCTTGGGTTTACTAGGTCTTGCTGCAGGCACGTCTTGTCTCCATAGTTTTCTTAGTATTTTGGCACTAGAACAAAACTTTCATCAGAACTTTGCCCCTATGAAGTTTTGATTGCATAGTAACCTCATTTTAAGAGGAAAAAAAGCTTGATTATGATAATGATGAGGTAGGGAGTACTTTTTCCCCCTAGACTGGACTTCTCATAAAAAATTGTGTACGCTTATCTGCTTATCTGGCGGCTTCTAGGTTGTACCTACCAGGACCTGTACTTACTTTCTTAATATAGAGTCATGGAAGTTTTGCAATGAAAGCATGGTGTGTATGAACATTCAAAATTAGCCATGCAATGGTGAAGAATATAGAGTTATATGTTGTGACTGTATCTACTCTCTTCCTTGTTGGTACTATGCGTTTGTTGTCATGTTGTATGTCTTAGGAATTGCATGAAAGGAATTGCATGAAAGAATGACTTTGTATTGTTTTCTCTGATTCCACCTTCATACAAGTTTTCGGATTCATCTATGTGCAATTCTTTTTTAGTTCAGAAGTTTTTTTTGCCCAAGTCTTCCATTTTTTTTCAATGTAACACCCCTCCGGAAAAGAATTGCTGTCTAAGATGTTTTGGTCTTGTTTTTTCAGAAAGAGGAAATTAAATCCTGTGAAGAACGTGTGAAGAAGTTGCTCGAAACTATTCCACCAAAAGGCAAGGAGTTCCTTCAAAGTATTGAGCATATATTAGAACGAGAAAAAAATTGGGTAAGACTATCATCTGACTTTTCTTCTTCATTTTACGAATCTCCTAATTCAGTGGAGATGGTTGCTTGCCATTTATCAACTTGGATCTATATGCATGATGCTATCTTCTTAGGTCTGGTGGAAACGAGATGGTTGTCCACCATTTGAAAAGCAAATAACTGAAAAAAGAGTGGGTCAAGATGGCGTGAAAAAACGGTAAGCATTTAATTTACTTGCTTTATGCATGAAAAATTCCTGTCCATTGCTCTGTATTTATTTTGATCCTTTCAAAGAGAGCTTTATTAGATGATATTTTTAAGAATTTAGAATCTCTATTTTACTTTCAACATTTGGTTTTCTTTTATTTTTTAGTTATTTTCAGGATTGTTCAAGCATTAAAATTTTGACTATTAATGTCATACTGTTGGACTAGGTACATAGATACATAAATAACACTTTGGGGCCTAGAAAAATCTGTCATCCCTTTTTTCCCACCCTAACGTTCAATATCCTTTTATTTTAGGCTAATTTACACTAAACTATCACAAGTTTGTCTTATTTATTGCTAAGCTATCATGAATATAAAATAGAACAATTCCTATGAACTTTCTAACTTCCAAATTACTCCCTAACACGGTTAATCCAAAAAGGACAAATTACCCTTTTGTTCTTCATCTTGAAATTTCACAAAACTATCGCAAACTTTTACTAGTTTTCTCAATAAACTACCATGTACATATGTAAACAATGCACTTTAACTTTGCTAGCAATATAAATAGGTTAACTTCCAATTTCATGGTGTAAAAGAAGGGATTTAACTGGAGTTCACGGTGGCTGAGGAACTTGAGTGGATTTTGACCTAACCATCATCTTGTGTTCTGCCCCCTTCTTCGTTGTCCTTCTTAACATTTCTTCGCCAAAATACTCCCCTTAAACTTCAACAACCCAATCCTAGCTCATCCACTTGGCAATTTCAACTTATCCATCAATTTCATAAAAATCTTTTCTAGTTTTATCCCTTCTCCTCTTCTACATTTGGTCCAACAATCCTTGCTCAACCATTCCACTTCCCAAATTCCAAAAGTGCATCTTAAATATCAATAAATGTCAGTAGAAAGTATTAGTAGTCAAATTGTCGATATTCCGACTAATTAAGAAAAACAAGATGCTGTATGTGAAGGAAGTGAAAACTAACAAATTTGGGTAAGAGCTTTGTTCCTTCCTCTTGTTCTAAAATTTCTTGTCCGAGTGCGCTTGGCTATGAGTTTAGGACTACCAAAAAGATCAAGAATGAAGTAATTAGAATTCAGTGTTAGTAGAGCATAGGGTTTAGGTTTAGGACTTTGGATTTTGCTTGGTGGTTGAGGGTGAGGAGGTGTAGGAGTGGGTGAATGGTTGAGAAGAATTTGGATTGTTGATCTGAGAACAACCGTTGTTGGTTATTGTTGAGAGGGAAGTGGTAAAGAAGGTTGTAATCGAGGGTTAGAAGTGGCAG